GGCGCAGGCTCAGTAGTTGTGGCTTGTGGGCTCTAGAGCACAGGCTCAGTAGTTGTGGCGCGCGGGCTTAGTTGCTCCGCGGCACGTGGGATCTTCCCGGACCAGGGCTCGAACCCATGTCCCCCGCATTGGCAGGTGGATTCTTAACCACTGAACCACCAGGGAAGTCCTGGCAGGCGGATTCTTAACCACTGTGCCACCAGGCAAGTCCCAAGAAAACATTTCTAATCTTACAGTACAGTACGTTGAACAGTACTGTAGTACAGTACAACAGCTGGCATACAGGGGCACGTGTGCATCTTTGAAAGCTCACAACTTGGAGGTTAGTGTGTAGGGGACTTATTGTAAACTTTTGTCTAATTGTATTTCCTCCCAAAGCAGCTAAAAAATGTTTCACCAAATTAAATAGTTCTTTGCTGCCCCATTTAAAAAAAGAAAGGAAAAACTAAGCTTGTATGTACAATCATGCTTAAATACAAAATAAAGATGCTTAGGGACTTCCTTGGTGGTCCAGTGGTTGAGAATCCATCTTGCAATGCAGGGGACACCGGTTTGATCCCTGGTTGGGGAATCCCACGTGCCGCAGGGCAACTAAGCCCACGCGCCGCAACTACGGAGCCTGAGCGCCACAACTAGAGAGAAGCCCGCGTGCCGCAACTAAGACCCAACACAGCCAAAAATGAATAAATAAATAAATGAAATAATAATAATATAAAAACAAAAAACAAAATAAAGATGCTTCTTCAGGAAAATGTCCTCATGTCTGGTAGAGAAGACGTGTGCAAGGCGAGGCTGGAGCTCGGACACATGGGCTCTGTGAGAGCTGACTTTCCTGCCCCGCTTCTTCCTTAGTGCAGCCCAGAGCTTCCCCCAGAGGCCTCTGCTCTTGCATTTCAGCAGTACTAACCTTTGAAATGAGATCTGTGATGCTTCTCACCAGAATTTGTAAAAGACAAAGGCGAAGAAACTTTCCTCATTACACGGGGAGCAGTGCCGCCCTGCCCTGCCTCTTAGCCTCAAAACAGCAGAAGAATTAAGGGAAGCTGGTGAAAGGACTTTCAAGTCCAAGGTCACGGGCCCTTCCTTGACAATGTGTGGTACATCTGATTCCAAGGGGGTCTAGTATTCTGGCAAGATAGTGGTCACTTGCTTTTAAAGGGTCATGAACGATGTTGAGGCTAGGAGCAGACTCACACGCTGCCATTTCTCCTGACTCTCTTCCTCCAGTGGAAAATGGAGCCGGCGTAACTTTGACAAGAATAGGGAATTCTCTCGGTCTAACTAACCTGGTTTCATCATTTGGGTTTTCGATGGGAGGTCACGGTGTGAAGGGAAAGATTTTAATTTGCAGTGTTCATCGAGACAGCAGTAATTCATGGTTCTGCTCTGCCGAGCAGTCGAGTCCAAGCTCGGAAGTCCAAACCAAGTGACCACGATGAACCAGTGTTCCTGGCGGCATTGGCGCCGGGTGGCTGGCAAGGCTGGCCCTCACTTGCCCTTCATTCTTTCTCTCCGCCCATCACCAGCAGTCCCTCTGGATCTAGAAATCCAGGCAGCCCTCGGCCTGCTGCAAGCGGCGGGGTTGGGGCCCAGCTGAATGCAGGCAGAATTTGTTACTGCCGTTTGTTAGCACACACGCGGGATGGTGCAGCCCCCTGCATGGCTCCCAGCTCCTCTGCCGTCTGTGCTTGGAGGGAGAATGGCCAGCACTGCCCCCTCCCCACTGGCCAGGGTGCTCGGGAAGCTGCAGCTGGGCCTGGTTGCTCTGCTCCTTTCGGGGGTCACCAGTCTGTGTCCGCCACTTGGCCTCCCTGACACCCCACGGCTGGAGGGCACTTCCCCCGCCCCTCCTCTGCAAGCCACCACCCAACTCTGGGAGCCGGAAAGGAGCCTGGCAGTCTAAACGCATCCCACTGGGTGCCGAGTTTCAAGAGCTTTCTCGAAACAGTAGAGCTAACATCGGTGGAGCATGATTGTGTGCCAGGCCCTGGGCCAGGCACTTTTACCTCATCTCGTTGAATTCTCTCAGCAGCCCCATTTGATGGGTATACTAGTATCTCCATTTTGCAGATGGAGAGACTGAGGCACAGAGAGAGAAGGGAGCGTGCCAAATGAAAAAGTGGCAGAGCCAGGATTTGGACCTCAGCGATCCAAGCCTCAAGCCCAGTCCTGGGGCCCGCACCCTGCCAGGAACCAAGGGCCAAGGCCCCGCTGTCCCTGGCTCTGTGCTGTCTCCCTCCAGGCCCTGGGTGCTGGGGGTGCTGCGCTTCAGAGGCTCAGTTCCCAGGGACAAGAGGCACCCACGGGTGAGGGTGACAAGAGGGCTTCCTCACAGTCCCACTTCAGGCCGAGGTGCCCAGATCCCCCTCCTAGGCCCAGCCCTCCAGGAGGGTGGATGGCAAGTTCTAATGAGCCCGTGCCTCCGCCATTGCTGGGTGCTCACTGCTGCCTAAGCATGGGAGACGGGCGACTGGCATTAAAGGCGGAAGATGGGGCAGACGCAGGCGAGGGCTCGTCCAGCCTTCCTAGAGGCAGGCTCAGGTCCCCTCTCTCGCCCCTCTCAAAATCTCTCCAAACCATATCACGCGCCTCTTTGGTCTATTTCTCTGCAGCTGCCCCCCGCCCCCCGCCCCCC